AAAATTAGCTCTTAATCAAGCTGTAATCAAGAATAAAACATCTAATATCAGAAACTGTGTCTTCGTAAGACCAAGATCCATGCATATATACATGTTTATATATTTATTTTTTATGGTGTCTGTGATGTGTTCTCTAATGTTTACTTCTTCATAAAAAAACAATTGTAACCACTCACATCATAAAAATGATGTTGGTCAGAGCTTTCTACTATAATTTTCTAACAAACTAATGTCTTATGGAGAAGCGAAGGAATTAAATAAACTCTACAACCCCTCCAAGCTCATCATCGAGTAATTGCCCAAAAAAGAAAATATTATTTTTTATAAGATAAATGAGAAGTTTAATTATATTTATAAACAAATATATCACTAATATATAATTTCGTAAAATCAAAATATACCCATATACAAATACTAATCTCTATAATCTTACAATTTTAATTAAGTTCCATTTGTTTAAGTAAAATAGTAGGCACATGTTTTTTTTTTCTCGACCATTTAAATATTTTGGTTAGTTTGGACTGATTAACCTCAAGAAGAAAGTAGTAATTATAGAACGGTTTTCTATAATTGTGGGTGATTTTTCCTACGTGGCGGCGTGAGAGTGATTTTAGGGATTTTGGGCAAAATTTCTAATAAAACAAAGGCGGCTAGAAATCCCATTTTGCATTACTAGGCTGTGCAGAAGATCTTGATCCATTGTTGTTTGTAGATCATCTTTCACCTTCAATTATGTTTGTGAAAATGTTTACTTACTCATTAAGTGAAGCGTGTATGCCAATTATGTTTGATTTATATACTAAACTAGAAAATAGTAAATTTGAATTTGATGGTTAAAAAATAAAGATTTGAATTTGATCATTGTTTTTTTGTATAAATTTTGTTGTATGTGGTAGTCCTTCGTTTATTAGAAATTGTTTGGTTGATCGTGTTACATATGAAAGCTTGGTGAAAATGCAAGTTAGATATTTGCTCTTTGTGATCTATGTATATTAATGTTCTTTTTACATTATTATGGGTTTGTTATTCGAATGGATTGTTATTGTCATCGGCTCATCACTAAGTCTCATTCACATTGTCATGGTCTAAACATAAGAAGAGTATGACTGTATGACTATGAGTAAAAAATAAGAAACAAATACCCAACTTAATCATAAAATCATTTAACTCGAGTAACCCAAGTTATATGTACAAATACAAGCAAGAAAAAGGGAAGAGTATTGACGTTGTAAAAATCCACAATAATAAGGATTGACTGACGATAAATTACGTTGCTTTGTTCTTTCTAAATTATGTTACTTATGGTTATAAGTTTTTGCTAATACATTATAATCGGTAGGATAAATTTATAAAAAGAACTAATCTAATAAAACTGTTAGATATGTAACCTAAGTTTATGACATATATATAACCATGCACATAATTATTCAAAGTTTTTATAAAACAAACACAAAATATGATTTGTTGAAATGTAATTGCACACACTTAGTTTTATATCTCCGACATTATGACATGTGTTGTTTAAAGATAATGATAGTTATTTATACAAAATTAACTTAACTGACAATTAGGAAATTTTTGTTAAACTTTTCTGAATGGAATATTAATTAGCCGTTTATCTAATTTACAAAAACATTAATTAATTTTCTATTCAGAACTCTACAACTATTCGGTATAATAGTCAAAGATTTTATGCTAGACATATATATATGATCCCATATGAAGGATCTGAATCCAATCCAAACAAAAGTAAAGATACGGACCCCAGTGAATAAAAAAATAAAACATATATTTTTTTTAAATCTTATTATTTATATGTGAACATTAGATAACAAATTTCCTATATATAATAATAAATATTGATTTCTAAAATTAGATCTACAAATTGATTAACAAATTAAAATTTATTAATATGGTATAAGTAGCATCATGTTCCTAATTTATAATATCGTTTAGATTTTATAACAACCTAAAGCGCTCACAGTGATATAATTAGTTAGGAAAAATCGCATAAAAAACCTTCAAGGTGGCTCGCACTGACACTTTAAATCTCTAACGTTTTACACTATCACTTTAAACCCCCAACATGACATTATTTATACTATAAACCATGAACGTGGTTCTCGAGTATGCGACGTCATCAGATTTGACGGAACTATTTATTTTTCGTTTAAAAGTGATGATGTGGCTTTTAATTTATTTTTTAATTAAAAATAATAAATTTATATATTATTTATAATTCACAATAAATATTAAAAAATCAAAAAACATCAGAGCAATGTGTGGGATGGTAAAGAACTTGAGAGAGAACCAGAAGAAATTGAAGAAAAAATGGTTAAGCCGTTTGTGAGGATAAGCGATGGAGTCATACAACATTTCAGTCATCGAAAACATCATCTGAGGCTTGATGTAAACACGGATAGAGATTACGACGAGAATAAGATCTGCCAGGCCTGCGTCATGCCAATATATTACGGTAACTTATACTCCTGTATGCAATGCGATTATATTCTACGCCAAGAATGGGCAAATCTTTCTCGCAAAATACATCACCTGATACATCCACATCTTCTTAAGCTAGTGGACGGATATGATGACTATGGAAGCAAATGTTCAGCTTGTCCTTGGTATTGCGGAGCTGGTTTCTTTTATAAATGCAGTTTAATAGAGTGTGATTTTCAGCTCCATGTGCAGTGCGCCACAATTTCTTAGCCATTGGTCCATGAAAGTCATGTGTATCCTTTATTCCTAACATCCAGACCAGGAGAGCGAAAAACGTGTTATGTTTGCAAAGATTCAAGACTTGAGTGCACAAATGAAACATTCAACTGCATTGAGTGCAACTTTGCTTTGCATTGAGTGCGACTTTGCTTTGTGTTTCGCATGTGCTACTTTACCTCAAAAGGTGAGGTATAAGCATGATAAGCATATACTCACTATTTCTTATGGGGAGGAGACAAGTACCATGGCATATTGGTGTGAAGTTTGTGAGGGAAAGATAAATCTGAAAGAACGATTTTATAAGTGTGATGAATATTGTTGTGTCACCCTACACATTGAATGTTTGATTGGGAAGGACTTCTACATGCAGCCCGGCTTAGAGTTGCACTACAGCAGTTACAGGATATATGTTCGTCCCAACATTCCTCGTATGTCTTGACCTTTTTGCTTTGATTGTAATAAGCGTTGTCCACACAAAACAATTTTCCTTGCTTACGGACGACTGTTTTGTTCCACATCTTGTGTAGTTCGGTAAGGTCACTGCGTTTGTTGTAAGACATGTTATAGAGTTTGTATTTGGCTGTACTGCTTAGTCAAACACTGACCTGTCCAATATAGTTATGAAATAGGGAAATTAGCATGAATAACACAAAAAAAACCAATAACTAAAATTCTAACAAATTAACCTATATCTAAATGTTCATGTTTTGCCACACATGCTAATTTTCTTTACTTTTTAATTATAATTTTTTTTTTGGTTAGATAGCAAATTGTCCCTATGAAATATTTCCATTAAATTTTGTATGCAAAGAAGTATTATTCTTTGCATCAATGGTGATTTTTGAAGGAGACATGTAATTTTTTTTTGCGTGTGTAAGGAAACTGTCTAGGATCTGAAGTCTTGAAAAAGCACATTTGAAGAGAATACATAACATTTGGTTGAGCCAAACCCCTTCCTTTGAATCTCAATTTTACCGTTCTGAACAAAATAACTCAGTCCGGTTACCTCGGTTTAATTGGTTCGGTTCTGTACCGAAAAAGTTGGAAACTTGTTTGCATATCAATTGCAAGTTTCTCACTGTAATCAGTTACTGATTCTTTGGGCACATCGAAGTCACGATTTTGAATTCTATGATGCCAAGTTATTACGACCTAATAAATCTCTTMAGTTATGAACAATGCACAAGAAACTAGAAATCTCCAGTTTGGGTAACACTCTAATAACTTGAAGTCTTGAACAATGCAGGCAATCTCGAACTTTTTTCTCCATAAGAAATAGAATCATTATAAGAAACATGGATTAAGCAAACCTCAATCCGTTCTATTAAGAAGAGTAGCCGATAAAAACGATAATGTTCCCAAATAACAAGATGAATCGATTGGGATTTATTGAATCATCAAATCCTCAAAGCAACTTGACGCCAACTTCCCTGACAGAATCGATGACAGCTTTGACTTTACCGTGATACATCTGCTCTTTTTTCATCTGAATAGTGACCGCTGGAATATCTTTCATCAAGAGTCTCTCCCCAAGAATCTTACCAATCTTTGCAGCAGCAGCCACATCGCGTGTGATCCCCATTGTTTCCCTCAATGCTTTCTCCTGCGAGCTCGCTGAGCAAGCCACTGTGGCTGTTGGTGAGTGGATGACTTGGGCGTGAACAAACTTGTTTGTGAAATGCAGTTTCAGGACGTAAGGTTTGAGGTAGTCGAAGAGTCGCGGTGGTCTCACTGCCGGTGGAATCACCATCTCTCTCTCAAGTCTGCCAAGAGAAACAAAGCATAGACCTTTAAACATCTTACTCTAATTTTCACTAAGCAACAACAGCCCAAGACCAAGATTCAAACCTGCAAATCGTAAGCTAATGGATAATATAACATTCTATATCAAGGAATGAGCATACCATCAAAGCTAAATCTTTGCGAATAAATCGTATCAGACAAAGACTATGTGTGATGTGAGTGTGACACTCCTGGTTTTACAAAATTCGTCTGTTTGTTGAACCAAAAACAAACGTAGAACAATCAAGATCCTAGCTCTCCAAAAGCCGTAACTTCATTCAGACATTTCATCAAACAGATGGTGGACATGGTTTTTTTTTTTACTCCAAAAGCCGTAAAATTCCAATGTGCATGTCAAGCTAGAATTGATTCGTCTTAAAGATGATAAATTCAATCTAAGTTCGTCAATTACATTTGCAACAAAACTAAATCAAGTAGAGGAGATCAAACTAAAATCGTTACATTCTCTTCCTCTTTCATTTTCCATATCTCACGAGATATAAATATAAGAGTTTAACCAAAAAAAAAAAAATCAAATCTGTGGAAGATATTGAAGAGCAAAGATAGACGATAATGGCGTACCTGTAGCTACCGAGAAAATATCCTACAAGTCTTTTGATCTTAAGAGAGAGAGAAGAAGAAGAAGCCCCTCGGTTTTTATTTTATTTTATTTTACTCCACGTAAGAGAATTTGTTTATAAAAATGATTTGTGTTTAATTTTTAAAATATTTTAAATTCAATACAAAAAGATAAGAAAATATAACAGTTTTAAATTGATTAGAGGTAAAAATTCTATAAAAAGCACTATGATTCATTAGCCATGGATGTAAATGGCAAAAGAGCTTTCCATTTGCTTATTTACTACCGTTACATCATCCACTTACATATAAAGAATATTTTTAAATGTTTTAGATAACTAAAGTGAAAAAAGCTTTACTAATGACCATATTACAAACTATATTAACATCATTTTGCTTCATCTCGACGCTGTCATTGTTTTTTGTTTTATCATATCCCTTCATTTTTTTTCTTGCTCTAACAGATTTGATTCTTTATATATAAAGAAGACCAATTTGACTATATACAAATTTGACAAA